ACACATACACATTAAACCAAGTCCACTGTCCAACAACATAAGTGAGATAAGTCCAACTGTCCAACAACATAACATATTAAATCCAAGTCCAACAACATAAATAACATATTAAATCCAAGTCCAACAACATAAATAACATATTACATAGCACTTAAGTCCAACAACATAAGTCCAAAACAAACAATGAAGAACAGCATCACACAACAATATGAATATCTCCAGACCCAAAACAGCAAACAGAGCAGAAAGCCTCAGCAACAGAGATTACATTAGAACAGAAACTGAAACAGAAAGCCTCCAAACTCCAGACCTGCATTAAAATCAGCAACAGAGATTACATTAGAGTACCTTGTTCTATTGCATTAAAATCAGATTACATTAGAGCATTAAAATCAGTAACAGATTACATTAGAGCATAAAAAAAATAAACAAAACAGTAAAAAAAAAAACCTTGCATTCTTATTCCTCCATTGTGTTCTCATTGTCATTGACATCGCTAATCCCAACACCTTGCAAAGCTATTATTATAAAAAAATAAATTAAAAAAGTTAGTCAAGTATTATATAACACAATTAATTTCAAATTAGAACACATTACATTAGAGTGCCTTCTTCTATTTTTGCAATGTCTTCTAGGCTCTCTTCAAGGGACTTAGTCCATTTGGACTTCTTTTTTTTCAACCAATCTTGAGCACATATAAGAGCCTCCACAACTTTAGGAGTTAAAGAACTCCTATAATCATCAAGAACACGACCGCCGGTGCTAAAAGCGGACTCCGATGCCACGGTTGAGACGGGAATCGCCAATACATCCCGTGCAAAGCAAGAGAGGATGGGAAATCTACTTTGGTTGAGTTTCCACCACATTAAAATGTCAAAATCATCTTTCTCGACAACAAGAACACTCTCTTTCAAGTAAACATCCAAGTCACACTTACTTTCTACTTCTCCACTCTCCATCTTGTGCCTTTTGAATTTATCTCCCAAGTGATATCTTGATTTATTCTTTGAAAGATCGGAATGAGAAGATTCATTTAAACTTGAAACTCGATTCATCGATTGTGTGGACGTGGCACAATGAGGTTGATAAATCAACCTATAAGCTTCAAACAACTCGTGAACACTCCCCTTCACACTCTTGAAGATCTCCGAACCGTTTTTTTCTCCGTGCTCTTCACAAAGTGCGTACTCAAGGAACTCCAACTTGTAGCGAGGATCAACAAAAACCGCCACATAAAT